ACTTTCACTTATTTTGTTAATATAAAAAAAAAAAAAAGGGTTGAACCCCAACCTTAAGGGTCCTCCACCGCCCCTGTCGTGGAGCATCGTGAGGGAGGTAAATCGCAGGTTATGTCTCTAAGGGTACAGGGTGGAAGGCTACTTGTACACTTGCACTTACCCAAGAGCCAAATCCATATTTCAGGATTCGAACCCTTGATGCGACGGCCTCAAGCAAAATTGAATTTCTCCACCCTCACCTTTTACCACTTGAAGAGTGCCCTGGGGGCGACTTTCACCTATATTGTTGATCATTAGTAATACTGCATATCATTACTCATTAAAAAAATATATATACAATTGATCTCTGGGATTTAGCAAATTTTCAATAATTTTTTGGTCAAAAGACTGCCACTTGTTATAAAATTTGAAAGTTGTACATGTTTAGAAATTGCAATTACTTTGATGAAATGATCTTTTACATTTAAAAATGTGAATTTTATTAAGAATATTAGCTTAGACCCTCATGTATTTATATTCATTTAATGTGAAAAATTATCTCTAAGTGGTTCTTATGCTTTTTAATTCAAGTGCAGAATTATTTAAGAAAATATTTTCCTTTTTTGTTTGTAATTATGCATTTTTTATTCATGTAGTTAATACAAGTTTTCAATCTGGATTAAGCCATTTGTACAATGAATTTGTACAACATACTTGACAATGGTGTATATTTTAAAAAAGTATTGATGGGAAAGATAAAGTATTTTTCAAACTGTTCAATGATAACCTGCCACGTAACATATTGTCAAACTTGTTATAAAAATCATTGTACAATAAACATGATTCTTTCAACCTCGACATAATTGCTATAAATAAAATTTAAACACAAAATAGAAAGACGCATTGGGCTCACCCCATCTCGGTGACACAATAACAGGACAAGTAAACAAGAAACTAATCAATCAACGGCGAAACTTAAGTAGAATCCAATCATTTCAAATTTCAAAAGTAATAATTGGGAATTATAGTTCTTAAATACTTTTATTTAATTGTGAGATAATGAAGCGTGTGATTGGGAGGAGCCACACGTCAGAATCTTACACGTCAAGTATACACCAAAAAGCTCGATTTAAAACGTGGCAGCTAATTGAAAGGAAAATTGGTAATGTTCGTTGAAGAGAATCGTATAGTATAATATCAATTTCTATATACAATTGTTCTATAATTATTTTTTACTGTACATACTAACTAGTTCAAGAAGAATTGATAGCAAGATTTTGAGACATTTATATTTATAGTTAAGACAAATGCACCGAAAT